ATTACGCACGGGGCTTCAAACAACAGAATACATGCACTAAAAGTGTTAAGTTTAATATCTGGTTTATGGACTCATTACGCACGGGGCTTCAAACAACAGAATACATGCACTAAAAGTGTTAAGTTTAATATCTGGTTTATGGACTCATTACGCACGGGGCTTCAAACAACAGAATACATGCACTAAAAGTGACATCTTAATATACAATGCAACACAGAGCAAGTAATATATACCTTTTTAACTCCTGAGCTCCTAAAATGTTGAAAATGTTATGAAAAATCGGCTTTATTTTCCAAGAAAGAAGACACCTTCAAGCCTCTACTACTGTACACCCAACAAATAACTGCCAAACATGCACGACTCATAGTGGTATCCCGTGGAATCTCAGCTGCGACCCCCTGACGTCTACACACACTACTGTACCCTCTATATTCGGCTACTGATATAAGATGGCCGACGTCAGTGCCGAGAGCACTGTCGATAAGAAAGCATCCTATCCTATGCGCATCCAGCCAAACAGGTCACACTTATGTAATTTCTTCTATACAGTGCACAACTAGAAAATGGGCTCTGACAGACAAAAGAACATAAGCAGTGGATATTCTCCACAAAATATTAAATGACGCGTAAAACAAAATCATGGCCCGTTATTTGGACTTCATCCATTATAGGATNTACTGTTAATCAATGAAAATGCTGCCTTCTCCGTAGACGAATGTGTCCTAAATCCATATTGTTCGAGGGCCAAGATACTGTTTGCTTCAATATGAGTGATTAGCCTCAAATACGCAAGTTTTTCTATAATTTTTGAAAAGGAAGTTAACAGTGATATAGGCCTGTAGTTGGAAACTTCTTGTGTGCTGCCTCTCTTAAAGCAAGGTTTGATTATGGCAAATTTTAATCTTTCTGGAAATACACCAGAATGCAGCATCACATTACAAATATATGTCAAATGAGAAATTATAAATGGAGTACTCTGTTTTATTATTCTACTGGATATCTCGTCATACCCAAAAGAGTCTTTAGTCTTTATCACTTTTTATAATTTTCTCGATTTCATGTGTTGAGGTATACTGGCAGCTCATTTTGGTAAAGGGTCTTTTAAAAATTTGTTAAATAGGTGGAGGGATTATACTTGGATTAATGGGATTAGTATTATTTAATCTAATGGAATCAGCAATAGATATGAAATAGTTATTAAAACATCAGCAATTCTGTTTTTGGTCCATTATTATTTTATTATCTGTCATTATAGAATAATTACCTTTGTCTTGTTTTATTTTTCCATTTTCTTCATTTATTATTTTCCATGTGCTTCTTATTTTATTATTAGAATTAGCAATAATTTTGCAATAGTGTAATTTTTTGGCCACTGAAATAACACTGTTTAGTATTTTACAATATTGTTTAAAATAAATTTTGAGATTAATATCATTACTGTCTCTACATATTAAGAAAAGTTCTCTCTTTCTGTTACATGATTTTCTGTCCACTTATGCATGGTTTTATGTCATAACTCCTTCTATTATCGATGAAAATGTTGTCAGTCAAGGTAGCTGAGTTATTAGTGATTCTTGTAGGAATTCTCATGTGAAAATTTTATAGTTTCAGAATTCATAATAGAGACATTTAATAAGTGTTAATCAAAATTTATTTTTTATATAATTAGGACTACCCTGTGATTCTATTTCATAATTATAAACAGATTTGTATTATTATAAAGTCACAGTTTCATAAACAGATGTTTGTATGTTCTAAAGTCAGAAGTTTATAAATTGTTATTTGTATGTTTATAAATTGTAAATAAATGTCAGTAGAATAGTATTGAAAAAAAAACTGTCTACTATTTTGGCCTGTCCCAATTACAACCCCTTTTTAACTGGAAAGGTAGTAACGAAAAAGTAACTGAAGAAACTTTCTAAGATACTTCTATTATGGTTTCCAGGCCTACACATTTACAGCGTGTTATAAAAATTTGGATGAAGCTGCGGACATGGACAGATTCCTTGTAGAGATGACCAGACCAAAAGAAAATAGACATGAGATCTGGTACATGGAATGTGAGAAGTATATATACAACGAGGTCACTCAGGGCAGTGGCAGAAGAAATATCAAAATAGAAGTCAGATTTAGCAGGAATACACCGGGTCAGATGGGACAAGTTGACTCTGCCCGATGTTCCTTTGGTGTGGGGGTGATTCTAAATTATTGTTGGGGGTTATCGTCTGGCTTAGCCTGCACAATCTACACATTTTAGGCATGGAGGTGAAAGTAGTTATGAACAATCCTCAAAACAGTCATCTGTGGTACACCTGATTGCAAAGAAGCTTGTCTATTTGAGTTTGTGGACTATGAGAAAACACTTCCTGGATTTGATCAAGCTCTTCCTGCTCCTTTTCGATGCAGAACACAACAGTCTCTTGAAATTGCTCTAAGCAGTGTCAGATAGCGTTATCTGCAGGCAGATCTTTTCCATATGATTTCTGTAATGACACTGCATTTTGATTAATGGACATACTTTAAATGTATTATTTATCACATTATTTCTTTAATTTGCAATTACTATTTTTAAAAAAATTGTTGCGGACTGGATATCAAAATACTTGCATCTATTGGAAGACATCGTGAAAAAAGGAAGCCTCTATTTTCTGGTGTTAAAATAGGCATAATCTTGTATAGTTTTAATGACAGGTTCATCCTCCTGATTAATTGTAAGCATTTAATAAGTAGGAACAGCCAGATGCAGGCAGTTCTCTGGCCTTCCACTCCAGTCTGTGTGTGTCAAGTCCAGGGAAGAGAACAGTCAACTTTATTTTATGACTATTTTAATTATCTACCAATGGAGCTGGGTAGTTAATTAAAACAGTCATAAAATAAAGTTGACCATGGAAACCAAATGATTCAAAATAAGCAGAGCTTGAGATATATTTCAAGCTTTCTCATCATTCTAATCCTCTTAACATCATCCTTAAAATAACACAGTTCTAAATCTGAAGGCATGAATTGTGGCACAACTGTTGCAAATTATAAAACAGTTTATATTTGAAATCTTAAGAGTGACAGCTTCAACATAAGTAACAAACAGACAGCAACCCTTCAAAGTACAGCGGTTACTATATGTACCACATGGTTCAATATTAAGTAAACTGCATTTCATTTCATATGATTCCAGAGTGTACAGCAATTACTTCCTGAGACGTCTTTGTAGCACAGGCATACTGGTTTTCCTAAGGCAGAAACTGAATTTTTAAAAATTACTCCACATCCGCAATGATACTGATCAAAAATTTCTCAATCAGATATCAGTATACAGTAACTTGTTAATGCAGAAGGCCATGGTAGGGCAAATGAACAGTTGCCATTTAGATAAAATACTAACATGTGGATGTAACCTTTGTGCCTTTATACACTCTTGGTGACAGTTTCATAACACCACGCATGCACATGCGCTTGCGGCTGTGAATAGGTTAATTTCAGGCTTTGAAGCGTTAATGTCTGAGAGCGTAGGCAATTGTCTGTTACATACAATTGGTTATCACATTCTGACAAGTGACATCTGAACATGTAAACATAACAGAATGGAAGAAGACTAGTAAAGAAATTATTGTAAACATCTATAAATATATCAAGAATGCAAAAGTACATCTCTAAGTTAGCGCGGTATGCTTATCATTCTCGCAACTTCATTTGTTCTTTTTATGAAGAATTTTCTTCAGGTTTTTTGACATGAAGTATGGTTTCTCTGCTGAGCTGTCATTTCTCTCACAGTCTTCCACTGCAATGAAAATAATTTCATTCTTATTCCAATAAAATATATGGAGATAAGTTACAGTCAGCTTTTTCTGATTCAATTCTAAACACTCCACAGTATGCAGCAACCCACTACACCTTTTGGAGGTCCTTGGCTCAAATCTTGACCAGGACACTGGCTACACTGAGGATTTCATAGTCTTCCTTAGTCGCACGAGACAAATGATGGAATAGTACCTCTGTAAAGTCACAACTACTTCCTTCCTAATCATCAGTCACCTACCTTTCTACCATCTGATGCTATACAGTGTGATACAGAAAGCATCATAAAATAACCATGAAAGAATGTCTTATAGTGTCATTCATAACTGCAGGAGTGAACAAAACTATACTGTCACATGTTGGGGTGATTTAAGATGGGGTTTGGATTGGATGATTGGATTTATTGCACCTCATATATCCACGCAGTTAAGGGTTAAAGGTAACAGAGCTATCGCTATTCTACACACTTTCCAGTTTACTGCTGCACACACACTAGGGTCCTCAGTCCTCATTAGTCATATTCTGGCAACAGATTCTTCACAGTTTGACTGTAACTTCAAACTGCACATGGAGTCTCTTATTCACCACCTCATTCCTTGCCGTTTTTTCTCAGTCACCTTTGACTTCCATCTCCAGAACTTGGCCCAATTCTCGACTCTGACTGTTCTACTTGAATACACTCAACTACTGTTCTATACTCAGTCCCATCTTCTGAGTCTGCCCTCTTATAACTCCATGGCATGGGCCCCTCAGAAAACTCCGTCTTCTATCATCAAGAATGCGTGTTTGCTGGTCCATTGCCTAGCAATGGATGTTCTTCTATTGTCATGTGTGCTTGTTTTGCAGGAATGTACGAGGGCAAATCAAAAATCTTTGCTCCTATTTTCTTTTCAGCCACAATAATACACATACAGGGAAATCAAAATACAGGCAGTGTTCTAAGTACCTTTGACTATTTTTCCACATAGTCACCACCCCAGTTCAGGCATTTGTCCCATCACACCACTAGTTTGGAGATGCCACTGTTGTAGAATTTGGCTGATTGAGCGCAGAACCACCACCAGACAGCAGTTTTCGTGTCATCATCGGAAATGAACCTCTGGCCTGCCAGGAACTTCTTCATTGGACCAAACACATGGTAATCACTGGGGATAAGGTCCAGACTATACAGTGCATGCTCCATAATCTCCCATCCGAATGACTGCAGTCGGGCAGCGGTCCTGTTTGCGACATGAGGCCTGGCGTTGTCATGGAGGAGAACCACATCGTCCACAAGAATCCCCGTGTGCGACTGCAGTCATTGAGATGAGAGATTATGGAACATGCACCATATAGTCCAGTCCTCGCCCCCAGTGATTACCATGTGTTCAGTCCACTGAAAAACTTCATGGCAGGCCAGAGGTTCACTTGCGACAATGCGAAAACCGCTGTCCAGCGGTGGTTCTGCGCTCAACTGGTCAAATTCTACAACAGCGTTATCTCCAAACTAGTGGTGCGATGGGACAAATGCCTGAACTTGGGTGGTGACTATGTGGAAAGATAGTCAAAGGTACTTAGAACACTGCCTGTGTTTTGATTTCTCTGTATGTATATTATTGTGGCTAAAAAAAAAATAGGGGCAAAGACTTTTCGATTTGCCTTCATATTTACCAACCCGTTACCTAGGAATAGGTATACAGGTCACCATACTATTAGATATTAGGAAAGAATTCAACCTATCAGCACAAAATTGATGAATACAGAAAAAACTGGATAAACCATTTGACAGAATATTGAAACAGATTCTACATTAAAAGCCAAATGATTCGCAGACCAAGTAAGACTTTGGAAAAGATGGAATGACTATGTGAAGTCAGAACAGGTTTGACTGCCAGCACCACGAGATGAAGAACAAAAGAGACCTGAAAGGAACTTATGACTTCCACTTTCTTTTAAATACTTTTTTAAACTGCTTTCAAAATGACAAGGAAATAAACATGTGAATAAAAGACTTAAGGCACTTAAAATTAATAGCATAGAGCTTACCACTCATTTGCATCTAGTGCTGATGTCAAGAATGGTGCAGTCATACGTCCACTCCCCCATATGTCTTCATGGCACATGGAAAACCTTACCTTGCCATATGTTCACTCCATTTTTGTAAATAGTATCACTTAAAATCTTGCATTTTTTTTTTTTGGCTGTATACCAGTATTTAAAAGAGGAACTGCTGCTTATTTTAATGTTCTGCACTATAAGTGGCAGCTGAGTGTTCCAGTCACATGTACTGTGGCCTGGAAAGAAGTGAAGGAGGGGGCAAGGACCTGCCCACCCTCCTGTTTATCAATGTGGCCACTTTTCAGTTTCTTAATCTACACATAGTCGGTAGTACTCCTTGGACAGGGGATCAGCCCATCACAAGGCCGCTACCTGTACACAGAACAATATAAACACAGAATAAATGTACACAGACATCCAAGCCTTGGGTGGGATTTGAACCCACAATACCAGTGTTCGAGCGAGCAAAAACAGTTCATGCCTTAGACCGTGTGGCCACTGTGATCAGGAATTATATATCCATCATATGCTCTCTGAAGCATGAACCTCTTTATACATTGTTTTTACCTTCACAACAAAAATATAAAGGTAACTTAAAACTATCCTTCTAAGAGACCATGAAGGCCCATAGGGTTGAGAGATCAAGGCTCTCACATTATGTATACTCGTAGACAGCTGGATCACAGATGGCAGTAATTTTGTCAGCCTCATGCCCTCACTGCCCTTTACCCCAAGGAAAATTCTTGATACTAATTTCTGTTAGAGGCTGTGTCGACCCTAGGGCCATAGTGCAGCTGGAAGGATTGGGTAAATTGCAGAAAATCGACCTCACTGGGTCTCATATCCACAACTTTCCAGCTTGTAGCATAGTGCCTCAAAGTATTACATCAACGAAAGAGAACTGCAAAAATCAGAGATTCCTGCATAACAGTAAATAAAATTATGCAGTTTGAAACGAGAATAACACTTACAGAAAGAAAGGTAAAGTGTATGCACAGCCATCGAATAGACTTAAAAGAACATAGTAGCTATAAAATAGGTGCCAAATCCAGTGATAACCACTGGTACAATACTGTAATTGAGGGAAGGTATTTTTACATAAACTTTGTACTCCAGTTCATTTGTGAATACATGGAATGACAAAGCACATATTCCTGCTGTTATTGCCAGTTTCCCCATAAGCAGCAAGTAATTGGTCCCCTATGAAGAAAGTCATATAATCAGTTAAGTATGACACTGACTCAAAAGTGTTCTATTTTTACTTGCTACTAAGTTCAGCTACAAGAGAACTCTATCCAGAAAGACTGGAAACTCTAGTCATAATCTAATTTGAAAGGCATATTAATTTCACAATATAACTATACTTTCAGCTCACCTTGTCCAATACAAATACCTTAACTACTTAACTACATTCCTCGTGAGCAAATTGAAGGCATCTTTGGCTGACCAACTGGAACTCTTTCCATATACACATTACACGTATAATATGAATTTTTATTGATCAATTTTATTAAGTTTTCCAGGCACCAGAAGAAACACCGAAGGCAACGCATGACTGCCTTCACAAAAGAATTATCATATTTCAACTTGCGATTTAACTATTCTAGTATTACTCAAATGACGCGGCACATGGCAAGAATCAGGGACCCAAATGGTAACTCCAACAAATTAAAAGGAAGCATTCAGAGAAACTCTCATCTTTTATTATAGACACAAAAACAAAATTACATCTCACTCAATGGAAAATAAGTCACAGTGTCTCAGCTATCAAAACGTTCCCACAGAATTAAAAAATGCCTGCCACTGGTTCCTGTCTTGAGCCAGATGAATCCAATCTGTAACCTTCCACCATACTCCAAACAACTATTTTGATATTACCCCGCATTCTATACACAAAACCTTCCAACTGGTCTTTTTGCCTCATGTTTTAAGAAAAGAATTTTGTACGCATTTCCCATTACTTCCACTTATGGTTATGTCTCAATCACCTCATCCCCTTTTACATGATCACCACAATAACTGGTGATTGGTACAAATTATAAAGATGCTAAATGTGTTATTTTCTCCAGCCTCCTCTTACTTCTGAAGGGTGATTGCTTAATAAGAAGCAATTACACTGAGCCATCTTGACATGCACGTAAATAAAATCCACAGTAATTCACCATAAGCAGTTGCTAGAAAGGAAGAAGAAACTAGGTTGATGGTTTATACATAATTTCCTGTTAGGGTAATGTACAGGATGTAGTTATTTGGAGAGGGTGGGTTTTTCCCATGCACGTAGACCCGTATAGGTCCATTGTGCTTCCCTCTATGATTTCTACCAGTCTCTATATCCTACCGGTATTGGTACTTACCATCATTCCCGCCCAGCCAGCGAGACCGGCTCTACTGGCTGAGAGGTATCTATAATGCTTCCCCCATCTACCAGAGGTATTAGAGACTGCTGTTGGGTGGGAAACGTCCGCAATTTAGCTCAGTGACCTCCTTTGGAGATATGAGGTTCTCTTACGTGCTGTAAAGCTACGACACAGGACCCACGGCTTAAAGTCCCTCCCGGAGGACTTGTTCCCTGAATTTTTCTGCCCTTAAAAATTTGATGACCTCCACCGGGTATTTGAACCCGCATACTACAAGTGGGAACGTTACCTCTAGACTACAGAGGCCGCTTATGTACAGGATGTAACTGAATGGTGAAGACGAACTTCGGACACCTACCAAAACAAGAAAAATGTCCATATCAACATGTCTTGAAACATTTGATTTGTGAGTTATAGCTGAAAGAATACATGATGGTGCTCCAGCACATTTTACCTGTGCTGTGCGAGATATTCTCAGTAACATGTATCATGACCAATGAATAGGTAGAGGAGGACTCGCTGCATGGCATCCACGTTTACCAGATCTGAATCCTCTGGATTTTTACTGGTGTGGACAACTAAAAACCTTGGTGTATGCGGCTCCTGTTGGCAACGAAGAGATACTTCACAATTACATTGTGGTTACCTGCCAGACTATCCGCAACTACCCTGGCATCTTCGAATGGATCTGGTGGTCCATTATGTGTTGAGGCGTGAATTGAAATCTCATGGAGGACATTTTGAGCACTTGTACAAGTATAAATTTACTCTTTCAGCCATAACTAACAAATGTCTCCACACACATGTTGTGGATGAACATTTGTTAACATTTTGGCATGTGGAACTTGTGCCCAAAAATCTGTCCACACCTTTCAGTTACACCCAGTATATTGGCAGAAATATATAAACAAATAATGGTAGTTTGTAAGAGAACAAAGGGTTCTGAGGAGAACCCTTTCAACCTACTTTTAGATTCCACAGATCTGTATCCCTATACGCAATAGACTTTCGATTATCTGCTTCAAATAAGATCTAAAAGTTTGTGATGATGGATAATGTCCGAACACATAATATTTGTATCTGCTTCAAATATTAACCACGCAACTTTCACAACCTTTGGTTATTGATTATAGCTTTCTCTAATTATTTAAGTGTTGCCCACTACAGCTGTTTTGGTGATTTATATCTCTGTTCTTTTATAGGCTGTACACCATAACGCCCTAGCGCAACTTACTATTTTATAAATATATTGCCTTTTTTTTTTGTGACATAACCTCTGAACATGGAGCTGCTTTCCTTTGTTAGAAAGATATTTGTCTCCCTGTCCTGTGATCAGTAGCACAGCGGCCTTATTTTATTCTGAGTTCTACTTTCCTTGCTAGTCTTGAAGTCTTGAAGTCGATTCGCGACGTTCATTATTGAACTTCTTGAATGCTTTTTTTTTCCCCCGCTACCTGAATAATAGCTCCTCAAATAAAGGGATCACGGTTACCATATTCATGATATTCCTCGACAATCATTATTGGATATAATGTTTTTACGTGGGTAATGGTGAAATGTACATAGTAATCCAGAGTACAAGATTTTGGGTCCGGAAGAGTCCGGCGATTCTGAAAAAAAAAAAAACGCTGTAGCAAGGAACCAGCTGTAGCTAGTGGCATGTTGAATGTTTAAGGGGTGGGCTTTCTTGGCCCTTGCACCGCGACCACAGTGATCTATTGTGCCTAGTGGCATGTTGGCGAGGTATCTCTTTGACTCTGAAGATGAAGACGTGTACCTCTGAAACGTCTGCCTGCCTTCAGTTACACGGCTGTACAGCCAAGAAGACTTCATTCTTAATAGTTACTTATAGTTTTCATTTGGATGCTTAGCATATGAACTTTTCGATGATAGTGCGGATGAGTCCTGTGTTATCCGTGGATTTAGCATGTCAGATGAGTCGATAGTTACACGTGATTGTGAAATATCGATGTAACGGTGGTTGCCAGTCATTGTAGTAGTTCACGTTTATTGTTGTTATTTATCGTGTTTATAGGAGTTACACAGTTAAATCCGAATCTTATAATTTTGAATATGGGTAGTGTTCGTGTAATCAATGATGATAGCCATTTTCAAGGAGAAATGTCCTCTTCGGGGACGAAATTAGTAGTGGTGGACTATACTGCTAGTTGGTGAGTTCCGTGTAGGGAGTGCTTAGTAATTCAATTTTGAGGTTAAAATGCTCCCATAAATTAATTCGACCTTTCTGTTTATTTGCCCTAAGGTGTGGCCCTTGCCAGAGGATCGCCCCGGTGTTTGAACAGTTAGCAAGAAAGTATCCGCGCGCCATTTTCCTTAAAGTTGATGTTGACAAGTGTCAAGAGACGGCAGCTAGCCAAGGGGTATCTGCCATGCCGACATTTATATTCTACAGGAATAAAGTACGATTAATAAACTAATGTGAACCTTGAATATAAGCCGGTTTAAGTTTCTCTGTAAATGGTGTGCACATATTAGCATGTGTCTGAATTTGCTTATTTCAGACGAAAGTGGATCGGGTCCAAGGGGCGGATCCCACATCCCTGGAGAACAAAATTCAGCAATACTATGGTAGCGAGGATTCAGAGGATGGGGATAGTGCATTTCAGGGCCATGTGCGTTCTTGTAAAAGCATTCTGTTTGTTTTATACGCCTACATTACATTACATTACAGTATTTGATACTCTGATATTTTTATGTACAATAGCAGTGTTGTTTTTACAGATGGATCTATCAACATTTATCCATAAGCAACAGTGTGAATGTCTGAATGAGTCGGATGATCATCCATTTGCTCACTGCTTGACTAGTGGTGGTGGATACCTAAAATCAGACTGTGATGAACAGGTGCGGTGTATTCCGTAAGTTATACAGGAAGCAGCCTGTAGTACAGCATGTATAATTATTTACATTTTATGTCTGCAGTTTTCTATTAGTATTAGTACCTCAGTCTCATTTTAAAAACATAGTATCTAGTGCTTTCTGATATCATATATATATATATATCTTTCAAATATGGCAACTGTGTTCGCGAATCTGTTTCAACATATGTGCACATGATGATACATACACCCAGAACTCTCACAGAATTATTTTTACATGCACAGTAGACTATATTACTTGACTGAAACACTTCTCCACCGCCAAATGTGTTTACATGTGTGTGTACACCCATTCATGCTCCTATGCTAGGACAACAGATATATCTCTGAAAATGTGTCAGATATATCATGTTATCACAAATCCCTCTGTTGTGGAGATATACCTTATGTCTACTTTTTGACATATATATTGTGGCATGTAGATTTCTTGCTAGGCAGCGACCGTGAAATAAGCTACTATACAACAGCTGATGTTAAGTAATGGCTCTGCAAACAAGCATGTTTCCACAGCAACAAATGCGCTGCAACAGAGGAACAGTTTTCTGCGTGGTCCATGTTGAGATGTTATAAGCAGGGCCAATTAGCTGTTGCAGTTAGTAAGTGAGTGAGTTAGATAACTGCTGGGGTTCAGTTGTTGTGAGCTGTTACTGTGAGAAGCTGGTAGCTGAGGCCAGGGACAGTTCAGGCACCCAGAGAAAGGGAACATCCACCATTGGAAGCTGCTACCAAGCACTGGCTAGTGAAGATTGTAACAGACTGAGAAGAGCTAGTATGTCCTATAGTGATTTGTGAAGTAAATAGAACAGTGAGAGCATAATCCTTACTTTTAGTCACAAGTTGTAAATCCAATTGTGAGTCCAAACCCCATCTGTAGTCACTAAAATCATGACAACATTTTTAATTGACCCCCAAAAGTTCTGCAACATATTCTTTAGTTCTGAAGCAAATAATTCACCACGGTCTTACAGCACAGCAGACCACACCTGTACTTTCATGCTTTGTAATGGCACTTGTTGGATAACATGAAGACTCTCTTTACTCTATACTTGTTTATTTTGAATACCGACATGGCTTGTAAGAAAGTGTGCAACCCAGTGAACAGAGTGTACATAATGTTTGTCTACAATCACTGAAACTTCCCAGTATGGTGACTCATTGCACAGTTAACAGATGTATTGAGAGTTCTGTCATTTGGGATATAATGCCATGTAGTCCATTGAAAGTCAACTGACATTTTGGAGGAACATGTTGTCTCCATCTTCAGGGACAAAGAATAAGGCAAGCAAGAAAAACCAGTGTAAAAGCAGGTAGCAAGCAGTGCTGTGCTCAAATCATTTATCTTGAGGCCTGGATTCAGTACTCTTAAAGTGAGATACACAGTTCAACAGTAAGTTTTCATGGTTGAATCCTTAATAAGGAGAAACTTGACAAATAGTACAGTTAGAGGTTCGTTCATAAATTCCCAGTATAATGAGTTCCCACAAAGTCACACATACTGAAATTTGTCAAGAAATGGTTGATCATAGGTTCAGTTTGTGACAAGAAGAAAATATCCAAGAGGAATGTGCTAACTGAATAAAGTTTTTAAGATACTCAGGCACCATTAGAGAGCAATCCTCAGACACAAATTTTGAAGATGCTTGACGCAAGGAACTGGAGTTTCACTGGGATCTGCATGAATTTAGTTTATATAATGTAACATATGTGCATGAGCATAAGAAATCAGTTTATGTAACAGGTTGTTACAAAATGTGCGCAGCAGTCATGGATCCACATCTGCTGTTCATAACTGATGAGATCTCACCTTAGTGGTCTTAAAAAAACTCCATGGCTTGAGTCTGCAAGCAGACTATACCAACTGAGCAACCACGGCTTGTTGGCGAAGTTTAGTGGATAGAGGGTGTCGTGGTCAGCGCAACAAATCTCCATGGCCGTTAATCTCGGTTTTCTAGACCGGAGCCACTATTTCCTTGAAATAGCTCCTCAGTTATCCTCACGAGGCTGAGTGGACTCCATTCTAGACCCACTACTATTCAGAAAATCTGGTAGCGCCGGGAATCGAACCCAGTACCTCAGGATCTGTAGCCAGGAACTCTAGCCACTAGACCACAGAGGCGGTCTCCTTAGTGGTGATATCAGTATGTAAATTGTGTGAATATGGAGTGAAGAAAGTCCTCTTGTCTTTCAGTAAGTACCATCACACAGTGTAAAAGTAGAGGTGTGGTGTCCTGTAGGCACACAGCAAATTATTTGCTTCAGAACTTTGAAATATATTAGAAGACTTGTTTACATGCTGTGAGACAGGAAGAAGGGGGTTGATTCTAGCAGTTTTTGCCTTTTTACGGTAATCAGTAATGAATTTCAGCTTTATGCGGTAACATTTCACAGCTGTTAAACAATGTCAGTGGCTTAACCTGCCATGAAGACCATTGTGTAGTCAATCAGACTAACCTCTCTGCTAAATTGAACCATAACATTACAGACTAAAACTTACTGTAAATTCACTTCTACTTAAAATGTAATAATAGGCCTGCTATAAACTTTACAATGTTAATTCAGCAGTAATGCATCTAACTTGTATTTGGAAAGATACGTCTTTTGAATTTCATGTGTGGCACTAAGTGACTGATGTTTTCCATGGTGTTCCGTGGTCCCTTGAGTCACAGGACATACTGTTACCTGGACATAGCCCATAAGACTTACTGTATCAATATTGCATAACTTATGAAGTTGTTAACTGAATAATCAAATAACTAGAATTTTTATTAATACGCAAAACATTAATTAGAAATGTTTGTAACATAAAGATTGTGTTGTTTCAGCTGATCATATCTATCACATTCACACAGGCGGTGAAGGTGCACGCGCTGAAGTTCAAGGCTCCACAGGATAAGGGTCCTAAGACAATAAAACTGTTTATAAATCAGCCACGAACACTTGATTTTGACATGGCTGACTCATATCAAGCTGTTCAAGAACTTCAGTATGTATCTCAGTAACTGTCAAGTAACAGTACTGTGACACTTCAGTACCTTTGTTCATTTTAGCAAGCATTGAAGAAGTAATTAGGAGGCATGTGGTAGTGTAGTTGGTTGAGGCACTATGCTACAAGGTGGAAGGTCGCAGGTTTGAGTCCTGATGAGGTGGATTTTTTTTCAATTGAATAATCCTTCCAGCTGCACTATGGCCCTGGTGTTGACTCAGCTTCTAATAGAAATGGGTACCAGAAATCTTCTGGGGGTAAAGGGCGGCTGTCACCTAAGGCTGACAGCCTTACTGCCATCTGTGAGCCAGTTGTTTAGAAAATGTGGGACCCTCAATGTCTCACAACCCTGTGGGCCTCCACAGCCTGGTACAGAGATAACTTTACTTTTTCTTAAGAAGTTATTTTGTCAAACCATACTACAAAGCTGCTAATTGATGAATGCAATTTAATAGAAGTATCAGCACACAGATGATGAAACTACCCTTGAAATTATGATCATAAGACCAGATCTGTTACCCAAGGTAATTAGGTATAATGTAGTAGTAGAGCTACCAAGTTGTACTGTTTTGAATATGCTATTGCTCTGTTTCACAGAGTTACCCCAGAAGAACTGGAAGGCACACCTGTAAATCTGCGCTACGTCAAGTTTCAGAACGTTCAAAACATCCAGTTATTCATTAAGGATAACCAGAATGGCAGTGATACAACACAGATTGATCATCTTGCTATCATTGGCTCACCCATCTCAACCACCAACATGGGCGAGTTCAAACGTGTTGCTGGCAAGAAGGGTGAAAGCCATTAGATGTGTTTCTGCAAGGAGATTACTTGTCACCATTATAAAATTCTTTGGGTTGTTTCCATATCTTGTTGTAAAGCAATATGAAATAAAAGATTGAAAATTGTACAGTTTCCATAATTTATGAGTTATGTAAGTTAAAGGATATGATTTTTGTATGGATTGTGCAGTTTGGAGCTCCATGTGTAAATTTCAGAACAACCAATTTAATAATGTGAATGTTGATTTTTTTTTTACATCAAATAGGATTTCGTATCTGAAACTGTCTCTGTAGAGTGTCCATTATGTCATTTCAATGAAATTACCTCTCTGAGTCCTCAGTTCTCTACTTAATTATAGCGTGGTTGTGCAGCTGATGTTGGTCTTATGTTTATTAGTAGCAGAAGGAAGTTTGCTTTTATATGTAAGATACTGTCAGTATTGAAACCATATAGCATTGACAGGGGGATGAATGGTGCAACTGGTAGAATGATAATTGGTAGAGGAAACTGAAATACTCAAAGAGAACCTGCCCCAGTGCCACCAAATCTCAAATGACCCAAACCATGATCAAGCCTGGGCCACTGCAATGGGAAACCTTTGACTAAGTATCTGAGCTATGATTGAAGGTACTCACATGTTTAAAATTATTATCTTAGATACACGAAAGCTTGGGAATTATTCCAATGGCATATTTCTGGCAAGAATGAAGTACTGACAGATCCTTCATCTCTTTGTTGTGAAGGAAGACCTGCATTCAGATGTTGCCCTGCTGGATGTGAAACTTTGTTTTGAAATGAAAGTATCAGTTGTACAGACCACACCATAATCTTGAACCTTATGTTTCAAGTTGCTGGTTCACTTATTCTGATGAGAGCATGTGAAAGACTCTACCAATAAAATGTTTAATTTAGTCCCAAATTTCCTGCTCCTAAGTTTTCAGCAGTTGGTTACCATGTTTAAGAGGATCTCCAAACTGTAGCTTGTAATCAGGTTGGAAAGTTACTATTTTTTCATAATAGTTATAAAAGCTTCACCTTAACAGTTTGCGGACCGATTGCATAATATTATGATTTTAGGACATGTTATGTTGCAACACACTATACTTTGCTCTGGTGCCATGCAGATGCATAACTGGTGCGTAATAGACCTCCTGAATGTTTTCTTAGTAGTTAGTAACATGACATCGCTGTTTTCCAATCCCACTCCAAAGGAAAATGCCTATGTTCATCTTCAAGCTGTATGTACTAGGCAGTAAGTTAGTAGTGCAATATGGATCAAGGACGAAAGTGGTTGAAGACCAAGCGATCTCTCGGAGAACAAGAAATATCTGACTTGTTCTCCGATGAGCTATCTGATGCGCCTTGTGAGACGTGTAGTGATAGTGACTCTGACAGGGGACAAAGAATTGTAGCCACAGACAGTAAAAGTGACAGTAGCTCCGACGATAATGCGGGTAGTAACATTGTGGGGACAGCCACATGGGGAAAAGTAGACAAAACGCCTACTTTGGTACAGTTTACTGGAAATCCAGGGGTGAAACAAATACCATCGGACCTAACGCAAGTGTCTGAAGTAGCAGAACTGTTTTTTTGGAATAGTTTCCTTGACATGTTATGTCAAGAAACTAACAGATACTATCTCCAACACCGTGAAGAGTATGACAGAAGTTATAAGGTGTTGAAGTGGGCTGATGTCACTTCAGCAGAAACGAGAAAAATTTTTGCAATAATCTTTCTAATGGGGCATACAAGGAGGGATAATCTAAAAGAGCATTGGTCAACAGATCCATTTTTTAAATTCCCATTTTCGGCAAACTAATGTGCCATAAGAGATTTGAACAAATTTGGTCATGTTTGCATTTCAATAATAATGAACTGCAACCACAATCAACAAGCAGGCTTTTGAAAATTCAGCCCTTATTAAACTTTTTCTTTCAGAAATTTCAGACAGTTTATAAGCCAAACCAACAACTGTCTTTGGAAAAATTTGTGATTCCTTGGAGAGGAAGGCTTTGTATGCAAACATATGATCCTGGGAAACTTACAAAGCACTTCAGGCTATATTGGAAATTTAGAAATTTATTATGGTGAAGGTAAAAAGTTACAAGAAACTATTGTTTCTGTTTTGGAATCCTATCTTTATCAAAATTACCATGTCTATCAAGACAGTTATTATAACAATGTGGTAACCGCAGAATACCTTCTCTTGAGAAAAGTACGTGTTTGTGGAACAATTAGGCAGAGGCCTTCCTCCAGGTCTGAAAGAGGAATCTAAATCCCTGAAACATGGTGAAACCACATTCAGGAGGAAGGGGGATATTCTTCTTCAGTCTTGGAGGGATACTCTTGTGAATATGATTTCCACAATTCACAATTCAAGCATGGTTGATGTTCAAAGGAGACATGGACAAGTAAAGAAGCCTATTTGTATTTCTGAGTATAATATGTTCATGAAGGGAGTTGATAGAGCCAATCAATACTTGGCCTATTATTCTCTTCTAGGAAAACAATAAAGTGGACAAAGAAAGTTGCCTTGTGGCTTATAAATTGTGCCATTTTAAATTCATTTTTGGTTTACAAAAATCTAAACCCTGATTTGAAATTGAAATACAAAGCATTTCTGCTGAATGTGGCAAAGGCCTGGGCTACAGACCAGATGGTGGCGGCAGAATGAGAGTCAGACACAGACTTAGTGCAACCGGACCCATCAACTCCCACCCCACACAGGCCTCATGTGGACCCCCCCTGGGCGATGCGGAAACATGCCCTTGTGAAAACTGTGAAGAGTGAACATTCCAAGGGGTAGCATCCTTCTAGGCAATGCCATGTTTGCGCAGTTCACAGTAAAAGGAGTATGACTGCCTATATTTGCAAGTTCTATGTAATGCCACTTCACAAAGGGGAATGTTTCCAGAAATATCACACTCTCAAGCACTTCTAGGAGCACTGATAAGTGTTCTTCAAAAATTTTTGTTCATAAAATTAATTAGGAGATTTTATATTAATTTTTAGAGCGAAGGAACAGTGCACAAGTTAGGGTAGTACGTTTATAAATGCCGGTCCCCAGGGTGATTTAAATATTTAAATTGCCAGTCTGCAAAGTTTTAAGTCAGAAATATATAATGTTCTTTTAGAAAAGAAAGTGAAGAATTGTCAGATTCTTAATAAATGTGGATGTATTGATGCAATTGACCTAATTCTTCTAGCCACATTATGGCCCTGGGGTTGACTCAGCCTCTAGTAATCATCCTGGGGGTAAAGTGCAGCCAGTGCATGAGCCGACTGTTTAGAAAATATGGGAGCATCTGAAAGCCGTATGGCCCTACACGACCTGTTACAGGGATAGCTTTACCTTACATTGTATTGATGGTTCCAGCAAAAAGATGTTTTTATAGTTGTTAACTTTTAACAGATATCTGCAAATATACAAGTTATGTGAAGTCAAGTTGCCAGTTAGATTTGAGGTTCTCACCTTGGTGACTATGAAATGTGATGCCATGTAGTCTCTGGGAAGCTTACCAGATCTACCACACTAGAATGGCATTACATCCCAGAACACGGAACTCTTCACAGTTTGTCTGAATAAAATGTACATTATTTCCATTATTTATTTAATGCCGTTGTATCGGCAGCAAAGGTTAAGCAGTATAAATTATGAATTATAAATTACGAAGCCATATATTACCTCTATCTAAATTTGACTTCCTTTTTTCCATTTAAAAATGATATAAACTGTTTCTCTATATGGGTTGAGACATCTCAGGAGAATGAATCTTCTTCACATATGAGTGTTCAGAAAGACTGGGTTCTTGTAACCTGTACTTTACTCAGAAGTGTATGTGTGTGTTAGGTATACTCAAGTGTTCACCTTCCTTTTGTTTTCTTTCTTTCTTTTTTAATCAGCAGCAGCACTGTAGGCAAATGAATCAACTGAGTGAGATGTGAAGTGACACAGAACACTTACTTTGGAAAGTACCAGTCTCCTGAAGTTTTACATCTTTTCCACGGTTGATGGTCAAGTGGTCAGAGTTCCTGCCTACAGATCCAGAGATTTTCTGAAAAGAAGTGGGTCTGCAACAGGGTCCACTTAGCCTTGTGAGGTAGCTGAGAAACTATTTCAGGGAAATAGCTGCTGTGGTCTAGAAAACCATAATTAATGGCCATGGGGATCTGTTGCGCTGACCACGTGACACCCTCTATCCACTAAAGTTGTCACTAACTTTGCCAACAAACGGCGGTCCCTCAGTCAGTCAGTATAATTCATTTGCAGACTACAGGCCACAGAGTTTGTTTTTTGATATAGGTCATAGGTTCACAAAATATTTTGCAGACCCTCTGAAGCCAGCCTTCTCTTTCATCATATCTGTTTCTTCAGAATGTTCCCTGAAAGCCAACTTCCCACTCTACAGCACAGTGAGAATTCCTTAAACTTTCTCATATGTGACAGCTGTGAATCTGTTGCAGATGTATGTTAAACAGTTGCAGTCTTTATCGAACGCCACCTTGGAAGAAAGTAAAAATTGTAACTTGGCTGAAACCCAGCAAAGACAAAAAATTTCCCCAAAACTTATGTCTGATCAGCCTCTTGTCCACTATGGACAAACTATTTGAGAAACTGATTTTACTAACTATTTAAAAACACTTTGAGGAAGGAAACTTGCTAAATTCAAATTAGTATGGCTTTTCAACAAATCATAGCATAACACTTCAATGTAAGAAGCTGGCAGATCATGCCACCATAAATTTTGACAATAATATGTTCACAGCTGGTGTATTCTTGGATATCAAGAAAGCCCTCAGCACAACATGGCACTCTGGCCTACTATATTATAAGTTACCAGAGTTGTAAATTCTGACAAGTCTCATTAAGTTAATTGTTTCTTTTCTCACTAAAAGAAAAACATTTATGTTTTGGTAGAAGGCGAATTTACTTTAAGAGAAATAGTGGCAAGGATGCCCCAAGGTTTTGTCCTGGCCCCAAAATTATACAGTCTGTATACAAACTAAAGCCAGTGAGTTGCAGTTGAAAGTTAGCTATGAGATGTTCACCAGCCAGAAGCTGAAGAATCTCCACTGCTTTGAGACATTATCCAGCAATGGCTAGTGAAGAGATAGAAGATTTTATGTATGCTGCAGTTAGAGGGATCTTTGTAGAGTGTGTAAACCATTCAGGCTGTTATAGTCATTTGTAGTTAAAAGATATAAATGTTTAGTAAATCCAATTATCAACAAAACCCCATGTCTATTTACAAACCTGTGGCAATACGTTAATCGCCGTGCTTTTTTCTGGACAACAAACTGTCTTATGTAATTCCAACTGAAGATTTAACTGAACTCAAACCTACATATAACTTCTCTCCAAAAATAATGAAATCTCATGATTTACAACATAACTTTCAAGGGTGGCAGCAGTAGTAGTATTAGTATCATCTAATGCTCAGGCACTTGAAGGAATTCCATTCACTTTCTAGCATCCCAGTATATTTTCACAGTATTACTCTCAGTATTTAAAACTGCATTTTTAAGACAGGCTTTATTCATTATGGAGTAAAAAGTAAGCCAACATAGCTTATCATTACAGTCAGCTAAAACAAAATTCACATACATGAATCTGAGCAAAAAATTGACAAGGGACAATAATCATAACCCATGAGAATAAAAATTTGATAAATATACACACAGGGAAAAACAGCCATTAAATAAATATAACAAAAAAAGAAAAGAAATATACTTCACAAGATCATTCATGAGAAACAGATGTTTTTTCTGTAATTGAAAATTCTCATATACTTTTGCATTTACTGTACTGAAGTGATGTGAGGTGTGATACAACTGATGTTTTTATAGTGTATCTTTAGGGTGTAATATAATTTAGTCCAGTGGAATTTCACTGATCTTCTGAAGGAATATGCTGCCTCCATCTCCAGAGTCAAGTGGAAGCCATGCAGGAAACCAATAAGAAACGGACAGCAAGTGTCTTATTCTACTTGTGGCCAGCTTCATGCTGGTTTCTTGCTTGGCTTACTCTTTGACCCTGAAGATGGAGGCACATTGGGAGACTTCCACTGGACTACATGGTGTTACATCACAGATGATAATATTCTTCACAGTCACTGCTGTAAGAACCTCAAATCCAGAAGTTGAAAAATGTTAACCACCCTGATACCCTCGTTCTGATTGCAGATCATAAATTCAGTGAACTCAGAATATAATAATACTTGAAATCTTGTAACAGTTATCACCATACACGTGAAGAACATTCACAATTCATTCATGCAACAGAAATGAAGACCTGATGCTTATAGTCTGTGTAATTTAGGTAGGAACTTCTCTCTTTGCCAGGTTAAATGGCAAAATCAAATTGCATTAATAAGAGGTTAATATTTAAAGTAACTTGTTATAAGTGATCTCACACAAAAGGAATATTTAAGTGTTGACCCTTCAGCTATTTTGATATAAGAGAGGCTGAAGAGTTGACAGCTAATGTGTAATGAAACAGCCTTGTCTAAAACCTTACTTTGGTAACTTCATGATGGCTTTATTATTTCGCACCTTACCACTGGCTTGTCTTCTAGTGGACTTGAGGGCAGTTATGGTAGACTCCATATCCCCTTGTAGCATGCGGATGCGAGGGCAGTATGAGCGGGTGTGTGCAAAGTCACCTGTGGCATTGCAGACTTCACAGTGGTGTGCACGCAGAATGGGGCAGTGAAGTGTGTTGGTCTCTGAATTGTATAGTGTATGGCTCATCACCACTGTTCTTGGCTCTCCATTCTTGGCACAGAAGGAGCACCACTGACGACGTCCTGCAGACATCAGCATCACCTTACTGCTTCTGATAAATGTAGCGCTTTAGAGCATGTCAACTGCAAAAGTCATTTATACACTATGGCAGTGAAGCAGTTTTCTTTTCTAAAATATATGTTGCTAATATGGGTCTGAGAGATTGGAGAAAACTGCACAATGAGGAGCTTCATAACTTGTACTCTTCTCCAAGTATAATTAGAACGATCAAGTCAAGGAGGATGAGGTGGGCAGGGCATATGGCACGAATGGGGGAGATGAATGCGTATAGGATATTGGTGGGAAAGCCAGAAGGAAATAGTCCGCTGGGAAGACCAAGCCATAGGTGGGTGGACAATATTAAAACGGATCTTAGAGAGATAGGATGGGATGGTATGGATTGGATTGATCTGGCTCAGGATATGGACCAGTGGAGGGCTCTTGTGAACATGGTAATGAACCTTTGGGTTCCATAAAATGTTGGGAAATTCTTGAGCAGCTGCAGAATTGGTGGTTCCTCCAGAAGGGCTCAGCTCCATGAGTAATAAATAATAATAATAATAATATGGGTCTATACTAAAAGTGAAATAGAGATGGAAATAAAATTCCACTTACTGTATCACTACACTGTAATATTATATGAGGTAGAAGTGGCTGCCCAAATGGCAGCTTCTCAAGAAGGGCTTAGGTCCATGAGTGAGTGAGTGATGAAGTAGAAGTTCTTGTATACCACATTTTATGGAATCTCAAGTTTCATTTCACAATTTGCTGACTATATACTACAGGCTTGAGCTTACCTTCTGAACCTTCTGAAGGCAATGCCCAGTTGGTCACGTCTTCTGAAACAGAAGTCCTGGATGCAGTGACGGTTGTTTTGCTGTATGCCTTGGGCCTGGCACCATGAGCACTGCCATTATTGCAACTGGTCACAGGGGCATGTGAGTCTTGAAATGACTGTTTCTCCTCCTGTCTTTTAATATAGAAATATTCTGTCTGCTTCCACTCATTCTGTTTATTAGTGGTGTTTGAAGTTTCGCTTGCAGAAGATGTATGACCATGTGGGGTTAGAGGAGTCATCTCAGAAATCATACACATTTCTTTGGTGCTGAACTTTTCGTATGACATTTCCTCACTGGATGAAAGAGTGGGTGTTATTTCATTATTGGAAGAGTTTTCCACGTTGCTGTAAAGTGTCTCAGGAAGTTGAGTGTTTGCGCATGGCTGAACAGAAGTACGATCCGAAATGTTTTGGTTGAAAACATAACAGCTGTATTGTTGTGCAATGCAGCTGTTGTTCCCTGCCATGACCGAGGCTGCTTGCAGTTGTGAGGACATAAGTGAAGCAGTTACAAGAGGCTTCTGCTGGCTGAAACATATCCCACAGTACAGCAGACACCAGTTTTGTTAGAGATCTCTGCATTTAACTTTTCCACTGTCAATGATGTAAACAAATAATGTCATTAGTAAATCCTTTTGTTGTTATGACAGCTTCACATAGATCTTTAAATTTACCACCTATTCCATTATATAAAAAAGCATCTCTCCTAATCACACAGTGAAAGAAAGCAACATAACAATTACTAATCATTCCACAGCACCACAATCACCACCCCTCATAAAAATTGGGAATGTCTTGTCTAATTAAGTAACTATTAATTTCTCAAGAAGAACTCCGCTTCATGGAGTTAATTACCTTGGCCAATGATGTATCATAATCAGGGTTCAGTATCTGATGAAAATAAAACTTCTATTTATCCACAGCTCTCATGTATTATTTTGTTTACAACGTGAAGTCATTCTGTCAGACATTTTAATAAAACAAAACCGTTTGCCCTTCCATGTATACTTCTTGGGAGTCAAAATGAAAGCTCTAGAATCTCAACACAGAACATTATCACTTCCTACTTCCTTACAGCTGTTTGTGGTAGTTGTTTACCACCACAGCATGAATAGCAGCTCCAACAAGTAGCAAGTATTTGGTACTTTAGCTCTCTACCAATATCATCCAATTTAAAAGATTATTGGGCTCTTCAGTAAGAAATTGTAATCATGATTGTTTAGAGACAGATTGACAGAGACTCAACATCTCAAGTAAAATGAAGATGAAGAAATTAAGTGGAACAGCAGAACCCTTGCTTACTCTACATGATGCTTAATGTTATAGGAATTAAAATCAAAAGTTACTTTGTTGAGAATTTCAAGTAGGACAGTCAATATAAAATCGGCAAAATGAGTGTTAATTCAATGTATGATAATTATGTTGAGTACAATTGGACATTTCTACCATTACAGAGCACTGACCAACTTGAACCAAGTGGTAATACTACTGACTTGTATTCAGGAGATGTCCAGTTCAAACTTGGCCAGAACGCCAACTATTCTGAGGATTTTCATGGTTTTCCTGCCCTTCCATGAGAGTGTCAGTCAGGATAATGCCTTGAAATATTCACTGACTATGCCCTTCCACATCCTTTTCAATTCATCTAGTCTCAGCTATTTACATCATTGTTACATAAACAATAAAAATACATAGAACTTTAGAATCCCATGATGAACATTTCCTTCAAGTGAAGTCCTTCTTGAGAAGCTGAGTTGTTAAACTGGTTCCAAAAATTTCCCCACCTTTCATGGAACCCAAATGTTCATTACTGTGCTCACAACAGCTCATAACTAGATCCTTCCATTAGCCATTTGGAATTCAATCCACACCCCATATCTTTAAAACAGATCCTCTCATCACACCTACACCTCCAGAGTAGTTTCATCTCTTCAAGTTCTCCAACTAAAAATTGTATGCATCTTGTCATCCCCCCATATGTTCTGCATGTTCTAGCCTATCAAATTAATTCATTATATAATTTGCAAATCATGTGCATGGCTTACCTGATGGGATGGTGTTGGCCACTGTAATTAGGCTTCTTCTGACATTGGTTTAGTCGATATAGCAGTCGCAGAGAATCTCTGGATGAACCTGGGACAGGGGCTGCTGAATAACATTACATTACATTTTATGTGTGTGTGTGTGTCTATATAAAAATTAAAGGTATCCCTGTAAGAGGCCATGAAGGCCCATAGGGATGTAAGATGTTGAAGTTCCCACATTTTCTAGACAATCGGCTTATAGATGGCGGCAAGGTTGTCAGCCCTAGGTGCTGGCCGCCCTTTTCCCCCAAGAATATTCCTTGTACTCATTTCTGTTAGAGTTACATACAGATCTAAATATACAGACGTCATCAGAGAAAAACACCACAAGAAACTAGCAAATCACCCAAACAACATACTACAGCCACTCGTTGAACCTCAGCACAATCGAAGACTCCGAAGATACTGGCCAGCTGACCTAAAAAAAACTAAGAGGAACCTCCCGCTGTGGAAGGGACCCATCACGTCTTTAAAGAGCATCACAGCTCTTATGCCAGCAAACTACCTTATAGAATTGTATAAATAAAATAAATAAAAATAGAATAAATAAAAAAAATTTAGAGGCTGAGTTGACCCCAGGGCCATAGTGCGGTTGGAAGGATTAGATAAATTGGAAAAATCCACGTCATTGGGATTTGATCCTGCGACCTTCCGGCTTGTAGCATAGTGCCTCACCAACTGCATTACCGCGTGCCTCTGTGTGTGTCTCTCTCTGT